ATAAGATCTATGATATTACATAGAAATTTATGGTATTAAATTTTAAATTATGTCCTTCCAAAATATATGACCTATTCTTCCAAAACTTTATACATTTTATGTACTTTTGTATGTGCTTCCAAAAATACATAAGAATTAAAGAATTTTAAAATTCATTTTAACCTCTCCTTTAATGGTTAAGAAAAAATAACAGTACAATTTTTATATTTTAGATCCAGATCATCTAGCATAGGTGGCTCTTGTGCTTGCAAATAGATGTTTTTTTCTTGGTTCATTTTTTGTTATGGTTTGCAACTATATGGTGGATTATGGTCTACTGTGATCCTCACTTTTTTTCGGTGGAATTATTTGGTGCTGCATATGCTAGAGTCCAGTAAAAGATTGGATTTATGACTATGATGAAAAGCACATTCTTTTGTAAGTTTAACATATATTTTTTGAGCTGAATTTCCTTTTTAAACCAAAAACATTAGCTTATGCATTGTTTTTAAAAAGTCTATAAAACATGAAAGCTTCTTAAAGAGGATGAGGGAATAGATTAAATAATTTATATTTTTATACTAGAAGATAGGGACTATTAAAACTTAAACCTTTCAAATGAGATCTTGAATTTGGAAAACCACAAAACATGCATTAAGGTGATGACTTTCACATCTAGGAGCCCATCAAATACCTTAACCTTTGAGATAGCAATGAAGTGAACTATAAAGGTCTTTGCTGAAATGACTTTAGGAGTTAAAAAAGCTATGACTTTTTTTGCAACCAATGTAAACAAGTTGGTTTCTAATGTATTGACACTAAGTATGGACAAACCTTGCAACATAAATCTTAAATTTGGTCACAAGTTGCTTAAAGGTAGCTTATTATCAACTATTTCATTGACTAGAAAAATCATTGATAATTTTAATAGAAAAATTTTTAACCAAGAAAAATTCTTACTGAAGATGCATGTCCTATCAACATGGTCTTTTGCCTCATTAGTGATCTCCTAAGGAGGAGTAAAGGGTGTCTTGTAGATATAGTAAACTATTATGTAATGATATTAAAGGATTAATGCTCAATATATGAATGTTTTTGTCAAGTCAATGCAAAATAGAGCAAAAGAGAACTAACAATCAAGCTAGAGTAGAAATCAAAGAGTAAAGGATATGTAGCAAACATAAAACTATCATGTAGTGATATTAAAAGATTAGTGCTTAATAAGTGAAGGTTCTTGCTAAGATGCAAAACAAAAATAAAGAGAATTAATAAACCAAACCAAGTATGTTTAACTAAATAGACACTTAAAAATTTCTTTCTTATCCTTATTTGACCAAATATGCCTCTAACATTTCAATAAGAGGGGTTTAACAAAAGGAATCAATAGTAACAATATCTTGCCATAATGGTAATAAAAAGAGAATGTTCGAAAGGAATAGTTAAATAGTATGAAGTTATATTTATATCATACACTCGCACAAAAGTGATTGAGAAATGAAGTTCAGTGTAATCTCTTGAATTTTAACTTCTTAGGAAGTCATTTAGCCCAATACTATTCAAACTTAAGAACACTTAACCCCAAGTATCTCAAATATATTTTTTCTCGAGTCGTTCTTTTTAGTTGTTTACAATTCACTATACTTCTTTGCAAATTCAAACCTTTGTAAATGGAAACTAAGAGTTGTAGCTCTCCCGAAAGCCCCGCTCTTTTGACACCCTACCCTTAGGGTCGAACCCAACCGAGAGCAAATTGAACCTATTAAATGTTAATTAACATGTGGTATGATTCCCCTAGCCAACCAATAGAGTTGGACCTGAAACCTTTCTAATGCCAAATGTAAGTTTTTGAATTTCAACTTCCTGAGAGATCACTCAGTTCAGTAATATTCAAACTCAAAGACACTTAACCTCAAATATCCCAAAACCTTTAACTAATTGGAAAAAGGGGTGCCTTCGTTTTCATGAGCCCTTTTCTTTTATATTTGAACTCTTATGAATCGTCTTTTGAGTCATTCTTTTTAGTTGCTTACATTTAGATGTTAAATTTAACCTTAATTCTTTTTTCATTCTTTTATTGGATTATTCCACCACAACATTCCTAGAGCATTTATTATCTCCTCCATTAAATATTGAAATTATACCATATATTCTCCAATGTAATGCCAAGTGATTCTTTAATGCAATATCCACTCCTTGTAGCATTAGAAATGTGCTTATCCAATAGTAGGAAGAGAGTAAAATATGAGCCATGAATATTTTTCTTAAAAGTTCAAATAAAGTTTATTTCAAGAGGTATAAAACTTCATGACTGTAGGTCAAAGTTTTTTATATTTATAAAGGAAATTTTAAAATTGCAATATGTTAGATTTTGAATAAAATCCTAAATACCCTTTATATTATATTTATAGCTAAAAATCAATAAAAAATATATGAATTTTTAACTGGTGTAATGTATATATGTTATAACCATACATCCACAACAAAATTCTTTTTTTCTTTTCTTAAGATCATCAATGCAAATGTGTGTGTGTGTTTTTTTTTTATGTCTCAGTCCCATATATCTACAAGTCTTTGGTAACAATATACCCTCCATTTCGTAATGCTCAATGAAAATTGGGATCAAGCACACTTACATATATTATACAATACAAAATAAATAATAAATATCTATATAAGTTTACATACTCTTCTTCTTTTATAAAATGCAAGGTGATATAATTTCTTACTATGCAAAGCATGAACAAAACTAATATATTGTTTCTTGATTGCTAAATATTGCAGAGCTAAAGTATTAGGTGATTACATTTTCTGAAGGGTAAATGTTAGATATTTAACAAGTAATATCTTTAAGTTTTTAAGTGTGTGGTTGCATAAAGTTTGAGATATACCTATCCTTGCAATACTTTAGCACATTCAATGCAAAATAACTACTTGGTTTTTTTTGTGCTAATTTAAATATGATAAAGTATATGAAACACAACCAAAGGTAATGGATAATGCAAAAAAGAATTTTATGAAATATATTTTCAAGACTATATTGTTATACCTTTGAATTTTACTATATTTAAAATATGGACATATCTAGATTTTTACCATGAGTTTTTGCTATAGTAGTATCAAAGTTTTAAGGTATGAGAGCATATTATACTTTCTAAAGAAAATGAACAAATTCAAGATTTTTAAAGACTTTGCAAAAATTCTTAGTACAATGTCTCATTTTTTTCCAATTAAAAAAGTGTAAAGTGTACCATTTGAATTCTATGTTCTAGTCAATATTATCAAATACTTAACGAGCCAAATTCAACTATTATTGCTTCTAGCATCAGTCATGCTAAATGCTAAAAGGAATAATAAGCCTTCAACATTTATACCAATTGCTCTAACCATTTATCTAAGTTGCTATAATTATACATCTAAGATATCTCAACTTAAATGTATCCCATCTAAGACTTATTAAAGGACTATCATACACAAAACTGATGAAACAAACACTATATAAGAGAAATAACCTTTTAAAAGTAAAATTTTCATCAGCCTTGATATTTAAATTGCTTATGACAAATAAATTTCCATGAAAGAACTTCAAATATGTTATATGATGATAGTTTTCTCCTTTCCTCTCCAAACCTTTTAATAGGATCTATACTTCAATGTATTTCAACAATTATAATTTTTTACAGCCACATTTGGTTCATCTTTTACTTCTACTTTAAATCTAATTCATTGATGCTTTTTTGTTTCCCATATGCATAAATGTTTTGACTTTGTGAAGGAAGAGGAGTAAGGAGTCTTCATGAACAACTTTGTCTTTTACATCAAATTATGTATTGTTTCCTCTCTCATCAAATCACAATCAACTCAAAATGCTTAACAATATCTAAATTTTTTACTATTGTTTTCAGCTTGTACTTTGGCCCTAAAACAAGCTGCAAACTCTTCAATGGCACCCCTAGATTAAAATGGAATATTCATTTGAAACTTCGAAGTGTCCAGCACCCAGATCCAGCGGTAAAGTTTGGCAATTGTTCCTTACAGTAGTAGACTTTACTAAAATGGTGAAATCCTTTGTAACTTCTCACACAATGACATCATGCTCTTTGGCAACAATCTCTCACTCCAAGGCTTGGAGCTTCTTAGCACTAAATTCCTTAGATCAAGATCAAGCTGTACAGGACTAGAGCTCAACGGTTATATTCTTCTTGGCACTGCACTCGATTGATTGCCCTGATCGGGCTGACAGATTGTTCCCAAAGAGCGTGATTTTCATCGCATCAAAGCGCAACACAAATATAGAACCTCTTTTCGGAACCACTGACAAAACCAAAAACAAAAGTGAGGACGCTCCGAAAAGGAAACCAAACCTTTGAGCTTGTTATCCAAAGTGATAATGCTGAAAGTGTTCTCGGTTTCTCTTATCATAAGTCCCTTGGAACCGGAAAAGCTACAGCTTTTCGAAGCCAAAACTGCAGCAAATAGATAAATGGCTCCATAGAGAAAAAAGCAAGAAAACTTTCTAC